GCTCTGGGGGTCATTGGGGGTCATTGGGGGGCTCTGGGGGTCATTGGGGGGCTCTGGGGGTCCTGGGGGGGTCCTGGGGGGTCCTGGAGGACGAGGAAGGGCAGCTCTGGGTGATTTGGGGAGGGGTTTGGGGGTGATTCCTGGGATTTTTGCTGGTTTTAGGAGGAAGATGAGGATGAGGAAGGGCAGCTGTGGGTCAGGAGGGTTTTTGGGGTGAATTTTCAGGATTTTTGGTGTTTTCAGGAGGAAGATGAGGAAGATGAGGATGAGGAAGGGCAGCTGTGGGTCAGCGGGCTCTGGGTGATTTTTGGGGTGAATTTTGCTGTTTTTAGGACGAGGATGAAGATGAGGATGATGAGGATGAGGAAGGGCAGCTGTGAGTCAGGAGGGTTTTTGGGGTGATTTTTGGGTTGATTTTCGCTGTTTTCAGGATGAAGATGAGGAGGATGAGGATGAGGATGAGGAAGGGCAGCTGTGGGTCAGCGGGCGCTCCCCGGACGAGGCTCGGGCCAAAGCGGCCGCGGCGCTCGGGGTCAGCCCCGACCTGGTCAGGCTGAGGCAAGGTGGGACTGGGATTGAACTGGGATGAACTGGGAGGGACTGGGAATGGGGACTGGGGGGACTGGGAACACTGGGATTGAACTGGGATGAACTGGGAGGGACTGGGAATGGGGACTGGGGGGACTGGGAACACTGGGATTGAACTGGGATGAACTGGGAGGGACTGGGAATGGGGACTGGGGGGACTGGGAACACTGGGATTGAACTGGGATGAACTGGGAGGGACTGGGAATGGGGACTGGGGGGACTGGGAACACTGGGATTGAACTGGGATGAACTGGGAGGGACTGGGATGGACTGGGGGGGACTGGGAGGGAGCCTGGTGGTCACTGTGATCACTGCGGTCACCCCTGTGGTCACTTTGGACACTGTGGTCATCGTGGTCACTCCTGGTTCTTGGTGGTCACTCTGGTGGTCACTCTGGTCACTCTGGTCACTCTGGTCACTGTGGTCACTGTGATGGTCACTGTGGTCACTGTGGTCACTCCTGTGGTCACTGTGGTCACTGTGGTCACTGTGGTCACTCTGGTCACTCTGTCCTGCAGACGAGGACGTGCTGGACACTTGGTTCTCCTCCGGCCTCTTCCCCTTCTCCGTCTTCGGCTGGCCCGAGCCGGTCAGGCTGGGGGGTCTGGGGGGGTCTGGGGGTCCCAGGGGGGTTTTGANNNNTCCTGGGGGGGTTTTGGGGGTCCCAGTCTCATTTTGGGGTCCCTGGGGGGTTCCTGGGGAGGTTTTGGGGGTCTCTGAGGGGGGTTTTGGGGGTCCCCCTCTCACTTTGGGGTCCCTGGGGTGGTTTTTGGGGGTCTCTGAAAGGGTTTTGGGGGTCCGAGGGGTCCCTGGGGTGGTTTTTGGGGTCCTTGGGGGGGTTTGGGGGGTCCCAGTCTCATTTTTTGGATCCCTGGGGCTGTTTTGGGGGTTTCTGGGGGTCCCTGGGGGTTTTTTTGGGGTCCCAGTCTCATTTTTGGGGTCCCTGGGGTTTTTTTTGGGGTCCCAGTCTCATTTTTGGGGTCCCTGGGGCGGTTTTTGGGAGTCCCTGGGGTATTTGTGGGGGTCCCGTTCTCATTTTTGGGGGTCTCAGTCTCACTTTAGGGTCCCTGGGGGTTTCTGGGGGTCCCTGGGGTGGGTTTGGGGGTCCCTGGGGGGTTCCCGGGGGTCCCTGGGATGGTTTTTGGGGGTCCCCCGCTCATTTTTGGGGCCCCGTGCCCCCCCAGACCCCCGACCTGGAGCGATTCTACCCCGGCTCGCTGCTGGAGACCGGCCACGACATCCTGTTCTTCTGGGTGGCCAGGATGGTCATGCTGGGGCTGGCCCTCACGGGGAAGCTGCCTTTCCGGGAGGTGAGACCCAAAATAGCCCAAATTCACCCCAAAAATCAGCCCCAAAAAAACACCGGAACAAAATAACCCAAAACATCCCAAAATAACCCAAAATAATCCCAAAAATAACTCCAGGGGTCATGCTGGGGCTGGCCCTCACTGGGAAACTGCCCTTCAGGGAGGTGAGACCCAAAATAGCCCAAATTCACCCCAAAAATCAGCCAAAAAAAATCCCCCCAAAAACCGGAACAAAATAACCCAAAATATCCCAAAATAACCCCAAAATAACCCAAAATAATGGCAAAAATAACCCCCGGGGTCATGCTGGGGCTGGCCCTCACGGGGAAGCTGCCCTTCAGGGAGGTGAGACCCAAAATAGCCCAAATTCACCCCAAAAATCAGCCAAAAAAAATCCCCAAAAAAACCGGAACAAAATAACCCAAAATAACCCAAAATATCCCAAAATAACAGAAAAAAATATCCCAAAAATAACTCCAGGGGTCATGCTGGGGCTGGCCCTCACGGGGAAACTGCCTTTTCGGGAGGTGAGACCCAAAATAGCCCAAATTCACCCCAAAAATCAGCCCCAAAAAAAACCGGAACAAAATAACCCAAAACATCCCAAAAAAACCCAAAATAACCCCAAAATGCCCCCCAAAGCCTCCAAAACTGCCCAGGTCTCCCCTGGGACTCCTCCAGGTGTGTCCCAGGTGTGTCCCAGGTGTTTCAGGTGTGTGCCAGGTGTCCCAGGTGTGTCTGCATCCCCTCAGGTGTGTCTCAGGTGTCTCAGGTGTGTCTCACCTGTCTCACCTGTCTCACCTGTCCCTTTACCTGCCCAGGTGTACCTGCACGCCATCGTGCGTGTCCCATCCCCACACGTCTCAGGCTCCCCCCAGGTGTGTCCCCAGGTGTTTCAGGTGTGTCTCAGGTGTGTTCCAGGTATGTCACATGTCCCTTTACCTGCCCAGGTGTACCTGCACGCCATCGTGCGTGTCCCATCCCCACACGTCTCAGGCTCCCCCCAGGTGTGTCCCCAGGTGTTTCAGGTGTGTCTCAGGTGTGTTCCAGGTATGTCACATGTCCCTTTACCTGCCCAGGTGTACCTGCACGCCATCGTGCGTGTCCCATCCCCACACGTCTCAGGCTCCCCCCAGGTGTGTCCCCAGGTGTTTCAGGTGTGTCTCAGGTGTGTTCCAGGTATGTCACATGTCCCTTTACCTGCCCAGGTGTACCTGCACGCCATCGTGCGTGTCCCATCCCCACACGTCTCAGGCTCCCCCCAGGTGTGTCCCCAGGTGTTTCAGGTGTGTCTCAGGTGTGTTCCAGGTATGTCACATGTCCCTTTACCTGCCCAGGTGTACCTGCACGCCATCGTGCGTGTCCCATCCCCACACGTCTCAGGCTCCCCCCAGGTGTGTCCCCAGGTGTTTCAGGTGTGTCTCAGGTGTGTTCCAGGTATGTCACATGTCCCTTTACCTGCCCAGGTGTACCTGCACGCCATCGTGCGTGTCCCATCCCCACACGTCTCAGGCTCCCCCCAGGTGTGTCCCCAGGTGTTTCAGGTGTGTCTCAGGTGTGTTCCAGGTATGTCACATGTCCCTTTACCTGCCCAGGTGTACCTGCACGCCATCGTGCGTGTCCCATCCCCACACGTCTCAGGCTCCCCCCAGGTGTGTCCCCAGGTGTTTCAGGTGTGTCTCAGGTGTGTTCCAGGTATGTCACATGTCCCTTTACCTGCCCAGGTGTACCTGCACGCCATCGTGCGTGTCCCATGTCATGCTGGGGCTGGCCCTCACGGGGAAGCTGCCTTTCCGGGAGGTGAGACCCAAAATAGCCCAAATTCACCCCAAAAATCAGCCAAAAAAAACCGGAACAAAATAACCCAAAACATCCCCAAAAAAACCCAAAATAACCCCAAAATTCCCCCCAAAGCCTCCAAAACTGCCCAGGTCTCCCCTGGGACTCCTCCAGGTGTGTCCCAGGTGTGTCCCAGGTGTTTCAGGTGTGTGCCAGGTGTCCCAGGTGTGTCTGCATCCCCTCAGGTGTGTCTCAGGTGTCTCAGGTGTGTCTCACCTGTCTCACCTGTCTCACCTGTCCCTTTACCTGCCCAGGTGTACCTGCACGCCATCGTGCGTGTCCCATCCCCACACGTCTCAGGCTCCCCCCAGGTGTGTCCCCAGGTGTTTCAGGTGTGTCTCAGGTGTGTTCCAGGTATGTCACATGTCCCTTTACCTGCCCAGGTGTACCTGCACGCCATCGTGCGCGACGCCCACGGGCGCAAGATGAGCAAATCCCTGGGGAACGTCATCGACCCCCTGGACGTCATCACCGGGGTCACGCTGCAGGTGGGGCCCAAAAACCCCAAAAACACCCCAATATCCCAAAAATGTCCCAAAAGCACCCCCAAAACACCCCAAAATCCACCCAAAAACACCCCCAAAACACCCCAAATACCCCCAAAACACGAGAATCCCACCCAAAACCACCCAAAACACCCCAAAATACCCCAGAATCCACCCAAAACACCAGAATCCCACCCAAAAACACCCAAAACAACCCCAAAATACCCCAAAACCCCAAAAATCCGCCCAAAACCCCACAAAAACCACCCAAAACCACCCCCAAAATAGCCCAAAATAGCCCCAAACCACCAATTCCCACCCAAAACCCTGAAATCCCCCAAATCCCACCCAAAAATCCCCCAAAAACACCAATTCCCACCTAAAAGACCCCAAAACCCCCAAATCCCACCCAAGATACCCCAAAACCACCAATTCCCACCCAAAACCCTGAAATCCCCCAAATCCCACCCAAAAATCCCCCAAAAACACCAATTCCCACCTAAAAGACCCCAAAACCCCCAAATCCCACCCAAGATACCCCAAAACCACCAGTTCCCACCCAAAAATACCCCAAAATACTCCCAAACCACCCCAAAATGCCCCAAAATCACCAATTCCCACCCAAAACCCCAATATCCCCCAAATCCCACCCAAAAATACCCCAAAATGCCCCCAAAACACCAATTCCCACCCAAAAATCCTCCCCAAAACCCCAAAATCCTCTGGGGGGGTCCAGGAGAAATTGGGGTGGATTTTGGGGTGTTCTGGGGCTGTTTTGGGGGTCCTGGGGGGATTCTGGGGTTTTTTGGGGGTCCTGGGGCTGTTTTGGGGGTCCCAGGGGGATTCTGGGGTGTTTTTTGGGGGGTCTTGATCCCCTGGTGCCCCCCAGAAACGCGACTTCCCCGAGGGGATCCCCGAGTGCGGGACGGACGCGCTGCGCTTCGCGCTCTGCGCCTACACGGCCCAGGGTACCCAGAACACCCCAAAACACCCCAAAATACCCCAAAATACCCTGAAAATACCCCAAAACACCCCAAAATAACCCAAAATACCCTAAAAATACCCCAAAAGAAACCAAAACCACCCCAAAATACCCCAAAATAACCCAAAGTACCCTAAAAATACCCCAAAATACCCCAAAATCCCCCAAAATATCCCAAAAACACAACAAAAACACCCCAAATTCCCTAAAAATACCCCAAAACCACCCTGAAAATACCCTGAAACACCCTAAAAACACCCTGAAACTCCTCAAAAACATCTGAAACGCCCTAAAATACCCCAAAACACCCCAAATACCCCAAAATAACCCAAAACACCCCAAAATACCCTAAAAAGACCCTGAAACACCCCAAAAACACCCTGAAAACACCTAAAACACCCCCAAAACACCCCAAAACTGCCCAAAACACCCCTGAAACACCCTGAAATACCCCAAAACCACAACAAAATACCCCAAAAATACCCCAAAAACACCCCAAAACCACCCTAAATACCCTAAAATAACCAAAACCACCCCAAAACTGCCCCAAATCTGACTCCAAACCACCCCAAAACTGCCCCAGACTCCCAAAACCACCCCAGATCACCCTAAACCCACCCCAAAACCACCCCAAACCTGCCCCAAACCACCCCAAAACTGCCCCAAACCCCCCTAAAACCACCTCAAAACACCTCAAAACTGCCACAAAATCACCCCAAACTGTCCCAAAATTGCCCCCAACTGTCCCCAAAGTGTCCCTAAACCCCCTAAACCACCCCAAAACTGCCCCCACCCCCCCCAAAACCACCCCCAACCACCCCAAAACTACC